GGCAACTCCCTACTTTCCATCTCATCCCCATACATTCCCTTTAGATAATCAATCTCATTAGTCCCTGGTGTATCTTTGCTGTGTTCACTTGCACAAATGAACACATGTATGTACATTTTGTTATTTCCTCTTTTTTATACAAAATTTAGCATTCCCTAGATGCTTTTATGAACTTTGCTATTTTTCATTTAAAATATATCCTGGAAACCACTGAAAATCTGTTCATTAAAATCTTCATTTAAAACAAAACAAACTTTATAGTATTTCATTTGGGTAATCTATCAGTTTATTCAACCATACATCAATGTATGGGTATATAGATTATTTTTCATATTTTACATTTACAATGTTGCAAAGAAAATATGAAAAACAGATACATTTTCATATTGTGGGTATGTTCCTAGAGCTAAGAATGTTATGTTGGAAGGTAAATACATTTTTAAAATTACCAAATTTTTCTCCATGAAGGTTGTACCAATTTGTATTTCTACCAGAAGTGGATGAGAGTGGCTTGTTTCCTCACAACCTCTCCAACAGAGTTTGGTGTTTTTACATTTTTATTTTCACCAGTTGGATGAGTGAAATATAGTTTTACTATGTACTTTTCTTACTATGGGTACAGTTGGATACTTTTAAATTTTAAGTTTGAGTCAATTTTTGTGAATTTATTGTCTTGCCCTTTTTTCATTGGTGAGGAGTTACTTTGTTTTGCTTTGTTTTGGGTTTTTGTTAAAAAAAAACCCCAAGGATATTTTTTCCATTGCTTTTTAGAGAGACTGGAAGGGACAGAGGAGGGAAGGGAGAAACAGAAACATTGATTTGAGAGAGACACATCGATTGATTGCCTACAACACGCACTCTGACCAGAGGTGGGGAGCAAACCCATAACCCAGGTACATGCTCTTGACGAATCAAACCCACTACTCTTCAGTGTGCAGGTTGATGCTCTAACAACCGAGCTGCACCGGCCAGGGCAAGTGAGTTATTTTTTGTTTTTGTGTTTTCCCCCTGATTTTTAAGATTTATTTTTATATTAAAATAAATACTAGCCCTTTATCTGTTATATATATTACAAATATTTTTTCCAAATTTGTCAGTTGTCTTAGATTTCCTTTTTATCATGCTTGTCTGCATCTGTTTTTCATATTTTCTTTGCAACATTGTAAATGTAAAATATGAAAAATAATCTATATACCCATACATATTAGTACCCACTTACTAATATGTAGATATATCATTTTTCATTTTCTTCTATTTCATTTTTGCATATGGATTTGGAATCATAGTTAGAAAATCTTCCTCTACCATTGTTTGACTTTTACTTTATCTGATATCAGTGTTGCTGCTCCTGCTTTCTTAGTGTTGCCATTTTCCTGGAATACCTTTGACTATCCTTTTATTTTTAGCCTTTCTGTTTTATGCATGTCTCTTGAATAGAGCATACTATTTAGTTGGGTCTTTATGAAAGTTGAAAATCTTTCCTTTTGATAAGCACATTAAACCCTTCCACAATTGTTAACATGAATATGCTTGTTTTCAATTATCAGACTTATGCTGTAATAATTCATTGTTTCTCTTTATAATGTGCTTGCTATGTTTTATATTTTAAAAAATCCCTAAATTTGATATTTATGGAGGTTAACATTTTTGTTTTAGTAGTTATCTGTGCTTACAACTTGTTTAGTGCCCTTAGTTCCTTATTTCTTTTATCTATAATTTGTATTGTCAATTTTTAATAACATTTCTTAAATTTTACTTATCTAAATCACAGTTAATGAGTTTATTCTACTTTCCTTGTTTTATCTCCATCCTCCTATTTTTAGATGCATTGTTTTTATGTTATTGGAACATACAAGGCATAGAGCACTGTTACGTAACATTACAAGCCCGGTGCACAAATTCGTGTACCAGTGGGGTCCCTAGGCCTGTTCTGCAGGACCGGGCGGAAACTGGCTCTCGGACATCCCCTAGGGGTCCTGGATTGCGAGAGGGTGCAGGCCAGGGGAGAGACCCCACTGGTGCACCATCAGGGCCGGGAGGGACATGGGAAGTTGGCCAGCGAGTGAGGGACATGGGAGGTTGGCCCACGGGAGGGCTCCAGTCGAGAGGGTGCAGGCCAGGGGAGAGACCCCACTGATGCATCATCAGGGCCGGGAGGGACATGGGAGGTTGGCCAGCGAGGGAGGGACCACGGGAGGGCTCCAGTCCCGATCAGCTGAACCCCAGCAGCAAGCTAACCTACCAGTCGGAGCGTCTTCCCCCTGGTGGTCAGTGTACATCATAGGGAGCCATTGAGTGTCCTTAGCATATCACTAGCATATTACGCTTTGGTTGAACAGACGATCAGATAACTGGACACTTAGCATATTAGGCTTTTATTATATAGGATTGTTCTTAGTTTTAATCTTATTTTTGCAATTAAGTTATATTAAAACTAAATTGCTAAAGTTTTCCCACTCTTTTTTGTTTGGATGAAGTTTAGTTTCTAGTAAATTCCTCTGAAAAGAACCATGGGAATTCTTTGAGCCCTTGATCTTTAAAATACTTTTCATGGTTTTTATACTTAGATTGTGAGTAGATTTTAGGATTATGGCTTTCTCAATGCTCCTACCCCTCTTCTTTGTGGCAGCTAAACTCTTCACTGTATGTTTGGTGAATCTTGCTTGGACTGTTTCTTGCCCCTCCCCAAGTCTGGCTGCAGGATGGCCTCCTGACTCTTCACACGGGCAGAGTGTATTTCCTTTACCCATGCTACAGTGAGTCTTTACTTGTGTCCTGACTGACAGTATCTGATGATCTTACAGTAGCTTAAGGCTTTTTCCTCAGCAGGGAAGAAGGATCCTGGTGGGTATTTCCTCCCGATGAACAGCAGCCTTTTCTTTCACCATCAAGGACAGTGTAATCTTTGCTCTGCCCCCCCTCCCCCCGTCCTCTTAAGTGCTCTCTGTAGTAGGTCCATGGAACTCCCATGCCCCAAAGAGTTCTTGACATCCCTAAATAATTCTGTAGTTCCACTAATACTTTTTATAGGTTTATGTTCACCTTTCTTAACCATCTGGAATATACCCCTGTGTATCCTGGCAGAGATTGGCAAACTGCTTAATCAAGTCAATTAGTACACAAGTAATCAACATCTCTCAGCCTCTCTTAAAGTTAGGTTGTGGTCTTGTGACTTAAGAATTGCTTGACTGGAATATGGGCGGAAACTTTATAAAACATTTCCAGGTCTGGCCCATAAAATCCTCTTCTATCCTCCAATCTTCTTTTATCCCTCAGATGGATGTGGGTTTCTAGGAAGACATTAGAAGACCCTATTTTTAAAATGAAGAAACAGCCATCAGTCTGGGAACCTAAGTGACTGAGAATCATGGTCATCAACCCTTTCCTCCACTTAAGCCAATTGGATTTGTTATTTAAAAAAACAACAAAAAAACCCCACTGTGCCCTGACCGATTTGGTTCAGTGGATAGAGTGTCGGCCTGCGGACTGAAAGGTCCCAGGTTCGATTCCGGTTAAGTGCATGTACCTTGGTTGCGGGCACATCCCCAGTGGGGGGTGTGCAGGAGGCAGCTGGTCAATGTTTCTCTTTCATCGATGTTTCTAACTATCCCTCTCCCTCCCTCTCTGGAAAAAATCAATAAAAATATATTTAAAAAAACAAACAAAAGAAAAACACTGTGTTAAATTAGAAAATTGGGTATTTTTTTAAAACAGGACAGGTATCATTACTCTGACACAGAAGTTGTTGCTACAAGAATTCCATTATTAAAAAAATCCAAAACACATGGCATTAGTCCAACAGATAGTCAAGATAAAAGCTAATATCCAGAGTGAGAAAACAAATTTGTGTCATGCAGTGATTCAATGATTGTTCAATGGTCATTTGCAATTAGAATGTGGATCACATGTCTAGGGAACACTTTGCTCTAGGGAATGAGGTTAGAAAATGGAATGTTGGTAATGAATGTTGATTGTTATTACCTACATTTATCAAGGTGATAGAAAAAAAATATATGGGATGTGGCAATAATTTGTTACTTTGACAGCATGAAAAACAAAATGTAAAATGATGGAAAAGCATCTAGTCCCAGATGATAGTAGATATACACAAAAGTCCATGAAGACTTCTGGCTCCACCATTACATACCTGAGTAAAGGTGTGGCATTTCCTCCTAAACATGATGGTATGGGGCAAAGGAAGAGAAAAATAAGACAGGCTTGAGATTTACATTTAAGAAAAGAACTTTGGGAAATGCTACTAGCATATGTAACTGAAGAGAGAGAACTTTCCCTCAAAAAACAATAATCTGCCTATTTGTAATGGCAATGAAATTGTAAGCCAGCACTTCAGCAGCCTAAAGATGCTCTGTCATTAAAAGTATTTGGGGGCTCCCAAACTTGCTCAGGGAAGTTTATGAAAACTAAAGTTTACAAAAACTGTAAAGTTTATGAAAACTGTAAAGGACCCCATGGAAGGCATAGTCCCCCTCATTTATTTTGAATATGACAATGGACAAAAGAGAACCTGCATAAGGGTAAATCCAGGGCTGGGAAGAACATTTAAATAAATAGTTTCTTCCACCTAACAAAGTTCAAATTAAGGAGATGTCCCCACTGCTATATCATAGGGACCTCAAAATGCCTGCCAGATCGACCAGTGCCTCTGTGTGTCTCCTATACTTCTTCAACATAGTAGGTTGAGCCAGGTGGCAGTAGAGAGGTTTCTATAACTTGTGTGTTTAGTGCAAGTGTCACTGAACCTTAATGGGCCATATTCAGAACTGACAGAAAAAAAAAACCATGTGTCATTCAGAGCTCTTGGACTTGGAGCTGGTTGCAATAACTAGGTAGAATTTTAGATTGTCTCAGTTGGGGAAAGAGGAAATGTGCTCTAGATTTGGTAGGACACTTAGTAACCAGAAGGGCATACTGCATTAAAAACTTTCTAAGAAAAAAAAATTATAGATATATAAAATATATAAATATTTTTGAGGGTCCCGAAAATATATATATATATTTTCACTGAATCTTACTTTTCTTTTCCTTAGGTAACTGGCTAAATTACATTCCCCAGCCTCCTTAAAGGTAGGCAAATGCTAGCCAATGGAATATGAGTAAAGATGATTACATGATTTTCACTTGTCCCACAAAACTTTCCTAGCATTCTCCCATATTTCTTTCCTGTTTTCCAGCTAAATGTTGACATCTTGGGCAGCCTTGCAAGAGAGATTTTGAAGATGGTGACATTTCTATAAACCATAGTTACATTGAGAAGATCCCCCAACCCTATACAACCACCTACTGAACTTTACATGAGCAAGAAATCAGTGAGTACTTGATTAAGTGACAGATTTAGGGTATTTATCTGTTTCTGCAGCTAGGGTTATTTTAATACATGTATGCTATGTGGTGAGGATCTAACTATTCTATGTTTTTCGAAATGAATATTGTCCTAATGTTATTTCTGAGTAGTTGGGTTATTCTTTCTCTACAGATTTGAAATGTCACTGTATAATCACGACGTGCTTCTATGCTCTTTCTCTTTTTCACTTATCCATTTCTCAGATCCAGTGTTACATTTTAAATTATTATAGCCTTGTATTTTCTTTAGATACTTAGTTTGTTTCACTCTTATCTTTTTTTTTCTTCTCAAAGTTTTCTTGGATATTTTTATTTCTTTTCTTTTTACAAAGAAATTTTAAATATAACTTTTACATTTTATTTAACTATAGCTTTTAAATTTTATTTAAATATATATTAGGATATTACTTTTTTTTAGCTTTAACTGTAATTTGAGACTTTTCTTTTCAAGGGGAATGTATTTGTGTGTCACATACTTAGAAAAACAGTCATTTAAAGAACCAGGTTTGGGAAACACTGAGAAGTATACCATTTTCTGGGAGAGTCCCAGGCCCATTGCAAAGATTCACAAAGGCCCTGACTTCTCCAGGGAAGGAGCCTGTTTTGCTCAGAGTTTCACAAACTGATTTGACCTGGGAACCCTTCCTTTTCCTGAGGAACATTTACAAGTTACCACTGAACCAGTCTCCTTCAGGAGGGGAACAATGAGTGGTTGACTATAGAATCCCTTAAAGCTGATGCTCAGAGAGGACAACCAAAAACTTGTGGGAGAAAACTCTCTACTTCCCATTGGTGACAAGGCAGCGGTTCTCAACCTGTGGGTCGCGACCCCTTTGGGGGGGTCAAACAACCCTTTCACAGGGGTCACCTAAGACCAACGGAAAACACATATATAATTACATACTGTTTTTGTGATTAATCACTATGCTTTAATTATGTTCAATTTGTAACAATGAAATCGGGGGTCACCACAACATGAGGAACTGTATTAAAGGGTCGCGGCATTAGGAAGGTTGAGAACCACTGAGCTAGAGTGTCTCAGAGAACCACAGAAAGGGCTCAGGGTCAGGCAGGTCAAAGAGAAGCAGACCCAGGAGTGACCAAGGGTTTAGGATGTCAACTTAGAACATCACCAGAGTGAGAAGCTCATGTAATCTCAAGCTGTTTTAAAAGAGGTCATGCCAGAAAGAAGAAGGTGACTCTTCTACTACTCTCCCATTTCCAGAATTGGCCCTGTTCTAGACATCATGCCTGGGGAAGGGCAAGCAGTGTGGAGAGAGGTCAGGAACCCATGTTATAAGCAAGAAGATTTGAAAGAAATCAGTGGATTGGGATAAGATCTTTGCCTTCAACCTCTACAAGCTGTCATGGCAAAGGGAGTGGATATGTTTGGAGCGGGCTGAGGGGTAGGTTTGGGAACAAGGAGTAGGGGGTGTGGGGTAATAGACTGTCCTAATGGTACCAGGTGAAGGCGTACACTTCTTCCTCTGGAAGCAGCAAGCAGGGGCTGTGCTTTCTTAGGCAGCCTCAGGGAAGGGGGTGGACAGAGGACCCCAGAAGGAGAGAGAACCCAACCTTGGGGGTAAAAGGGCCTGGCTCTGTCACTTCCCAGCTGTGTGACACCAGGGAATCATTGAACCACTGCAAGCCTTAGTCACCCTGGCTGTAAAGTGTCAGAACTCCTTCCTCATAGCTTTTGGTGAGGATTAATGATGTGGAAGCACCTCACTCTGATGCCTGGAACATAGTAGGTGTTCAAAAACAGTTATTGTAACTGTTACTGCTGCTATTAATACTGTCATCTCATTACCAGTATTATTACTGTTGCCACCACGATTACTGTTGTTACCGCTCTCTGATATCACTACCGCAACTACCATTACTAGTGGTGCTATTACCAGGACTACTTCTGCCACCATTGCCCACACTATTACCACCATTGCTGCTGCTCCGATCGTTAGCATTCAGCATCTGCTTCTGTTACTTTTGCTTCTACTATTGGTACTTTGGAAGTTGTAGGAGCCAAGTTTAAATTCTCGCCCTATCCCTTACTAACCATGTGGCTTTTGGCAAATTATTTAATCTGTGGCTCATCTGTAAAATGGGTGTAATAAAAATTGTGACCAACAATGAGATTATTTGGGGGATTAAAGGTGTTAATAACTATAAAGCACTTAGGAGAGGGCTTGATTCCCGGTAAGCTCTGGATAAATTTAAGTAAGTAAATACCTCTACCAGTGTTACACTTCTCTTCTTGCTGCCGTATTCTCACTGGTATTTAGCAATGGGAGTATAGCAATTACTGTTATTACGTCAGCTGCTGTTGTTACTTTCTGGTCACGCATTGTGTTCAGCACCACTTCTGCTACTTCCTGGGCTTGAGGCCTGCCATGCTCCCTGGGACCTGCTCACTGGAGCCCAGGCTGCATGGCAGGATAAGAAGTGATGCCCTTGGACCGCTCCGGTTTGGCTCAGTGGATAGAGCATTGGCCTGGGGACTGAGGGTCCCGAATTCAATTCCGGTCAAGGGCATGTACCGTGGTTGCAGGCTCCTCCTTGGCCCAGGCCCTGGTCAGGGCTCATGCAGGAGGCAACCAATTGATGTGTTTCTCTCACATGGATATTTCTCTCTTCAATTTCCCTTAGAAATTAT